CGACCTCCTTGTCAACGTCGTATATGGCATTATAAATCTGCAGATTGGGACAGATTGCGAGAATTTTACGCATCGTACCCATGGAAGCAGTACTGCTTTGCATCAGAAGACGTCGATACCTGTACAGCCGCCGTTACTGAAGTCATACTTGCGGGTATGGAATGTTTTATTCCAAATCTGCTTGTTTCTTCAGGGGCGAAAAAGCGACCGTGGTTTAATAGGTCACGCAGAGAAGCCAGACAGGCTAAACAAACTGATTATCTGGCTTGGACCACGGCTCGTTCCAACAGTGATGTTGACGTATCTGATGCAAGGCGGAATTTAAATGCTGCATCCAGGTTTAGTAAGAGAGTAATTGCTAGAGCCAAATTCGACTTCGTCAGTAAAATTGGTGAACGACTAGCACGACATCCTTCTGGAAGTCGTGCCTTTTGGTCGCTTGCCAAAGCTGCCGAAGGTAACTTTAGTCAGTCGTCCTTACCACCACTACGGAAGCCGGATGATAACTTGGCAATCAGTGCAAAAGAGAAGGCCGATTTGTTGTGCGCTCTTTTTGCCTCAAATTCGACTTTGGACGCCGGGGACACCATACCTACTACCATCCCATGGTGTGGTAACTCTATGCCGGAAATATCCGTAACGCAACGGCGTGTCCGGCGAGAGTTACTGTCTCTTGACGTCCACAAGTCGAATGGGCCAGACGGCATACCGGCATTGGTGTTAAAGAAGTGTGCTCCGGAGTTGTGTCCCGTACTCACACGCCTTTTCGCGCTTTCGTACTCCTCTGGGCAATTTCCGTCTTCATGGAAGACCACCCTTGTGCACCCTGTGCCAAAAAAGGGCGACAGATCAAACCCATCGAACTACAGGCCTATCGCTATCGCATCTCTACTCTCCAAGGTGATGGAGCGTGTAATTAACACACAGCTCCTGGGATACCTAGAGGATCACGATCTATTGAGCGATCGTCAATATGGCTTTCGCCATAATCGCTCAACTGGTGATATTTTAGTGTATCTCACACACCGTTGGGCTCTTGCCATTGAGAGTAAAGGTGAGGCATTGGCAGTCAGCCTTGACATGGCGAATGCATTCGATCGGGTTTGGCATCAAGGTCTTCTATCGAAATTGCCCTCGTACGGTATACCAGAGGGATTATGCAAATGGGTCGCTAGTTTTTTGTCTGGCAGATGCATCAAAACCGTAGTCGACGGTAGTTGCTCCGATAGCATGGACATTAACGCTGGCGTCCCGCAAGGCTCCGTTCTCTCCCCGACACTGTTTTTGCTGCATATCAATGATTTGTTAACTACAGTTAACATTCGTTGTTATGCGGATGACAGTACTGGGGACGCATTTTACACGAGCCGTGCTAATATCCCTCTTTCCGTTGTGGAGGCAAACCGCGAACAGCTTGTGTCTGAAATCGAGAGTACTCTTACCAGAGTCTCCGATTGGGGGCGACTGAACTTAGTTCAATTCAACCCTACCAAGACACAAGCCTGCGCGTTCACCGCTAAGAAAACCCCTTTTGCTGTGGCTCCGCAATTCCAGAACACGTCCATTACCATCTCTAAGAGTATTGGGATTCTCGGTATCGACATCTCTAGCACAGTTGAGTTCCGTAGTCACCTCGAAGAAAAGGTTTTTTGGACGCCAGCTTAGGCGTCCAAAAAACTGGGTGTGCTCAATAGAGCGAAGCGGTACTTCACTGCGGACCAGAGACTCCTCTTATATAAGTCTCAAGTTCGGCCGCACATGGAGTACTGCTCTCATCTTTGGGCAGGAGCACCTGGATACCAGCTCGGTCCTTTTGACTCGATTCAGAGACGTGCTATGAGAATTGTCGATGATTCGCTTTGTGTGTTCTACCGATTATACAACGGACTGTGTTCTGAGGAATTGTTCGACATGATGCCTACGGCCACCTTTCACCATCGCACCGCTCGCCATCGACAGGGAATTCATTCCCACACGCTGGAACCTAAGTGGTCTCGGACAGTGCGGTTTCAGAGGAGCTTCCTCCCGCGTACACTTAGATTGTGGAATGAACTTCCTGCCGAGGTTTTCTCACGAGACTACAGCATGGGGTTTTTCAAGAAGGGTATATTAAGGTTTCTTAAGGGTCGGCAACGCGCACGTGACACCCCTGGTGCTTCAGGCGTCCATAGGCTACGGTAACCATTTACCATCAGATGGGCCGTATGCTTGTTTGCCACCATAGTAGTATAAAAAAAAAAAATACATCGATTAAAGACCATAACTGAACTTTTATAGGGATTAATATCCAGTTTCAACTCAAATTTTTTAGATTTATAAAATTTGTGCAGCAGTAACAATATCATCTCCATATTGCAATATATTTACATTTTTCAAATTTACAAATCGGTGAATTTCCGCAGTATCTAGTAAATATATGAGCGGAGACAATGTAGAGCCTTGCATTACACCTTTAAATGCTAATTTCGGACTATAAAGCTTATTATTATATCGAACAAAAACTGTTCTACTATAAAATAATTTAAATAACCATTCTGAAAATTTACCTGGTATGTTGTATGAATTAAGAATTTGTACTAGAGTTGATAGATCTACATTGTCAAATGCTCCTTGAACATCTAAAAAAACACTAATAAGAGGTAAGTTACATAGCATAGCATTTTTAATATCACCTGTATATTTTAGAACACTATCTATTGCACTTTTTCCTTTACAAAAACCATATTGTAATAGAGGTATAATATTTCTAGTTTCTGCGTATATTTCTAATAAAATAGATTAGCCATATTTTCAAAAATATTTCCCATACAAGATGACAAAGCAATCGGTCTGTACGATTCAGCTAAAGACGGGTCTTTTTCAGGTTTTAAAACAGGTATAATTGCTAGAGTTTTCCAAGAGTCGGGTATTAAATTATGTTCCCATAAATTGTTATATATTTCAAGTAATTTCATTTTACAATTAACATTACAATTAACAAGATTTTTAATAAGTAAATATGGTATATCATCAAGTCCCGGAGTAGTATCTTTTCTATTGTTCAAAGCAAGAATAAACTCTTCAAAGGTAAATTTTATTAAATATGTATTTAAATCATTCATTTTAAAATATCCTTTCATATTTTCAACGTTTTCAGTTTCTTTAGTAGTGGCAACTTTATTTAAAAAATTATTTACCCAAGAATCATCAGGTTTTAAATAAGGTGCATAAAATGTAGGGTCCTCATCTTTATACTCTATAAATTAATTAATATCAAAAGACTGTAGGAAAAATGAACTTCCCGCCTCGAAGTTCCCGCGCTTTTTTCTTAAGAGTAAAGTAAGCAGTGTTGCCAATTTAGCATATTCTATGCTTTATGTTTGGCATATTAATTTGTTGTTTAGCGTACAGCATATTTTTTACCTTACAAGTATTTTATAAAAATTTAAACATTTATACTTATTATATGCATTTTAATAATTTCACTGATTTTATACTAATATTTTGGGTATATGAGTATATTGCGTGAGTATATGATAGCTAGAGTCATTCTCTATCCACGAAAAAGTAAATCAGCGCCGGCCATGCACAGCCGCATGAGTAATCATTCGGAAAAAAAGTAATATTTTGGTATTAAAATTTTGTTTTTGATAATAATGTTTTTGCCATGTAAAATAAATTCAAAGCATATATTTTGTCTAATATGTTGTAATTTGTATTTTGTATTAATATATTATTAAAAATTTATTATATATATAAATTTAATGAAATGATGGTTAATTTGAGATTGAAAATTGCTAGCTTATTTTTTTGGCAATATTTTATAACATTTACCTCATGAAGTATTACAGTTTCATCTACATCCACATCTATCCAAGATGAAGATCAAGATTTTGAAATATTATACGAAAACATAGTTGATTAAAATATAAAAGATTAAATTTTGTTGATTATTAAATATTTACAATTAAATGAGGTTTTATTTGACATTGGAAAATGTTGGCAGATTTTTTAGCATAATTTTAGGAGCAATTTAGCATATTTAGTAGTACTAGTGTTGGCAACCTTGATGACTATTTTTAGAATGTAAACAAGGCCACCACACACTATGATATGCGTCACTGCGTCGTACTGATAAAATGTTATAGAAACACTCACTCTGCATAATCGCTGCGAATGCCAACGCCCAACAGTGTTCACAAAGTCTCAGTTTCATCACGACGTTTAGTTAACGTGAACTACTATATAGTAAGAGTAGTATATTCTTTGATAGTAAGTGTTAGTTCAATTAATAGCAGTGTTTATTTATAGAAGTTTTGAGCAATTATCATTACAGGTATGTAAATGTGAACTCTATTTAGACAGTACACATTCTTTATTTACGTGTGTATATATGAATATAGTATACAATACCGTATACTTTATTCATATACATTTCTAGATTTCATTAGAGACGCAAAAAGTATCCGTACCTCTTGATATTTAGTATTCTAGTACTTTGCTTTCAAAATTAATTGGATTCTCGATTTTTTTATAAATAATATCACAGATAACATATTATATTTATTAACCACTATGAAATATAAAGTTTTATGTTACTGGAATAACAATAAGATACCCTGATATAGATGACATTATCGTTGTGATATCTCTTATATCAATATCTTATATAAGTGTAGCTTAACTGTATATATATTTATTGTGACGATACAACCTACTTACGTTGTTTAGATGTATAAAATGTGGAATGCCACATCCCTAAGTATTGCTATCTGGTCATTATTATTAGCACTTGCCTGAATTGTGTTGTTTCACTTTGTGTGTGTGTGTAGTCGTGGACGTAAGCTATACACCATACCATGTGTATAGTACAAATAACTTTATACAAAGACATGCTTTATGCGCGTGAGTTGGGCGTGGCTGACCGTTTCGAATAACCGTATTAGCGTAGCGTGGCCAGATTTATTTTCGGCCAAGTTGTTATTGTAAAACTTAAAGTGATAAAAGCGTGATTCTTTTGTCAAAAGCGGGACTTAGTGAATAAACATATGTAATCAGAATTTTTGAAATATCTTTTTATTTGAGTTCAAATTATGTTTACGTGACAATAGATAAAAATAGCCATAGAAGTGTTTTAATGATAAAGTTAAGTAAAGTTTTAATGATATTTTAAATCACATTACGCATCTTTACGGTCGAGTAATCCCCGAAAAGAAGAAAACACATATATTGCACACATATTGAAGCAGTAATATAAAGATAAAATTTAGCAATTACTAAATATTTGGAATCTATATAGACATACATCGTGTAATTGTATGTATGATATATGTGTGGCGAATTTAATATTATCGGGCGGGCAACACCATTGGTTAGTTACTACAGAACAAAATAATAACAAGCTTGTCATTCGGGACCGAATCCTCTTGTAAATATATTTCATATATGTATAAAACTTCTATCTGTATGTAAATATCTATTGTTAGGAATATCCTCTAAATTTAATTAAATAAAAGAAACTGATAACAAATCGTATAATTAATTTTAACAAAATCAGTAAAAGAATTTATAAAGCAAACACGGTATGATACGGAGATTCGTTCGAGAGCACGTCTGTCGACCAAAAGAGGCCGCACACCGGGTTTCGCAGCCTTTTATAGACGCGCCGCACGACGGTGGCGCCACCACAGGAAGTTACACCTAACACTATATTTACCTAATATACATAATCTGAATAGCTACAACTGGTTTCTATTCACCTCCCTCTTCCTGATGCTGCTGCTACAAGGAACCAAACACAATCCGAAATAATAGCGGCCCATCATAGCAGCTAAATACATCTATACATATACACTTATAAGAATAATTTTACTGTACCTACTCCTTCAATTGAATGTATTTATTCAATAATTAAAATAATATGTTTTTATCTGATAAATATAAATGTCGAATTAATATAGCAACTTCATTTTGGAATTTTGTAATAACGGTGATAAGTAAATAAAGGATAGGTAAAGAAAGATAACACAATCAAAATATTACGCAGAAATTCTTTATCTACCTATGTATATCGACTAAGTTTTTATTATTGGATGATTTTTTCTATGGAATGGCGCGCCCGCTTACACTAGCGGTTTACGCTAACTGGGCACCAGTGGATGATGATATGATAAACGTAAAGGCATTTTTTACCAGACGTGCAGGTCTACCTGCATGGCACATTGCTAGCAATAGACTCATTAGTCCATATTACTAGCAATCGCCTAACACCAATTTAACCTAAGTTTTAATAGTTGGTTGTTAAGTAGGGTGTGACTGACTCGTATGGCTAGGGTTGTTAAGGCATAGGTTCTATTTTCACTTTACTATTTGTTACAGGACCTATTTGTTTTATTTCAGGTAAACGATGTACTATTCAACTAAATTACCTACAATTAATTTCCGAATACCATGTTTCATTATTGGGTACATTAATTTGGTAAGTATCAATAATAATATATATGATAGCAATATAAAATGAAGATAAATATAGATTTGGTTATATTTTAAAATATAATTAAACAAAACATTAAAGAATGTTTCCTATATTTTGTTTATAATATTACGAATAGAACACACTCGTAACTGTGTTGTTGAAGGAATTTAAATAAAATTTTTGCATCTGCTAGTTTACATAAATAAACGCATTTATATGATAATCATTAACATTATAAAAATATCTGTTAATTTTTAAGCAAATGAGGAAAAAATATATTTTTCCTAATGTGCTTAAAGTCTAATTTTCAATTTGGATTAATGTTTTATTAATAATAATAAAATGACTCCATGATTATTGTTATTAATATCAGTAACAACTTAACGACTATTGACTGTTTATTTGTAAAAAAAAAAACAATACTGAAATTTATCTTATCTTACACCGGATAACATTTTTTGCCATGTGGAAAATATTAAGACATGTATCCTATATTAAATGTATGTATGTACATATTTAGATTTACAACCAACACGAAGTAATTTGACTTTACTCTGAAAATACGTACATCCTATACGATGTAGGTACGTACCTACATATGAACCGATTGGGTGTGTTTTTATAAGTAAGGGTGACTATATAAGTCTTACTAATATTATAACCGCGAAAGTTTGTGATTGTGGATGGATGTTTGTTACTCTATCCACTGTTGGCTATAGGCCTTTCCCAATTACTTCAATGTGCGGTCTTCCGCCGTCCGCTTCCATTATACATTTATCTAAATAAATCTGTTTACAGGTGGTGAGCATCGTGGACGTTTTAGCTCAATTAGTCGTGGTATTCATTATCACCAGTGGATTTCAATGTCAAGTTAGTGAAAAGTCTGTAAGTATAATAATATAATCTTATTCATATTATAAACGCGAAAGTTTGTGAGTATGGATGGATGTATGTTAGTCTTTCACGCAAAACATATAGTTAACCGGATTTTGATGAAATTTTACTGTAATATAGCTTCAGAATAATATATAGCCTATAAATTTCGCGTTGGTGAAACCGCGGGCTCAGCTAGTATATAATAATATCCACACACTTTTCACACAGCGCCATCTAATCCCTAAAGTTAAGTTGAGTTTGTGTTATGGTTACAACTGCTGATAAGAGTAAATATAAAAACAGTAAATACAAAAATTATTTCCTTATGTACATATGGAATTGAATAAACAGTCAGACCAACATTTATTTATCAGTATTTTATTTTTGTATAAAGTCTGTGTCGTTTTTCGAAGTCTTAAGGGGGTCTTCCTATGTGATGGGTTGAAAAAATCGATTTTTTTTTTTCATAAATTGCTCCCTTAACATGTCTAGAATACGGTAGTAAAGCGATTTTAGAAAATTCGAAGTCGTTTTAAAGATACAGCAGGTAAAAGAAAGAGCGGTTCGGAGCGGTGAGTTGGCAGTTAGAGACCGGGCCTATTGTGTACCGTCGGCTTTATACCTGGCCTCCCTTTTATTAATATATTTGTTTATACAAGTTTAGACACGTTTCTACAGACTTAAACAGAAATTTCTATTGTTATAATATTTTACCGAAGTTATTTTAGTCTTGGTTGAACTTCGAAGAGAGCAACAGCTACAAATTATTTTTTTTCATAATGAGTGGACGGAAAGGAAGTACGAGTGGAAATGTTCATCCTGGTCGTAGTAAAAAAAGAAAGTTTAGTGGAAACCGTTTTACCCACCAAAAATGGCGTAAGGCTGAAGCTAATAATGAACTGGACCAATTTCATCACGATAAACCACCTCTAATTCCGCAAGTCCAAGAAGCTATCAAACCGGTTTTCGAAGATTTATCGAAAGACGAATTATTAATTCGTTGTTTAGGAGCAGAGACACAAAACAATAACGAATCTTTGAATTCTTTGATTTGGACTTTCGCTCCTAAACATCTTCATTCTGGTCCCAAAGTTGTTGAAATTGCTAGCTACTTAGCAGTTATTATCTTTAATGAAGGTTTTCAAGGTATTTTAAAAGTTATGTCGATTATGGGATGCCCTGTTGGTCGTGAAGCCCAAGCGTATGTTGAGAAACGGGATGAAAAGCGAATCTTACGCTCTGAGCGGCGCGTAAGTGATGTCGTTAAACAAGCCAGGATTGACTCAAGAGCTGAACAATCTGCTTTAAAAGAGTTTCACGAGGAAGAGGAAGGAATACTCTATAGACCAGGCATCGCCGATTGAGAGTAAGTTGATATTTTAATAGTTTTTAACGGACTTGAAACTTTAAACGCGTTTTTCTCAAAACTGTGTTTTTCAAACTTTCCTCCATTGTATCTCAGAAACGGCTGGACCGAATTACTTGAAATTTACAGGGCACACTCAATATATGTAAACGCATGGAATGAACTATTATCAATCGAAAATTTTCAAAACTTCGATTTTTTTATAGCAAAAAACAAAAAAAAGCCTAATTTGCAACTTTTATTTCAAATGTCTATCAAAAATCCAATTTTTTTTATATTCATTTGATTATAGGTCATTCCGTGCTTTTAAGCCTACAAATTAAAACGCCGTTTTTTTTTTTTTCAGATAAGCCGATCAGCCGGAATCGTGGAGGAAGTGGGAGCTCTTTTTTTCGAGGCGGGGGTGTTCAGAGCGCTGTAACTCTAGTTTGACTGAATATTTTTAGCTGAAATTTTATATTTATACTGTCCAAATATGTGTTAATAAATGATAAAAAACTTGAAGCTCTAAATATTTACTGGTCGTAGAAAAAAAATCCTAAAATATCCCTAAAAAACAGGCCGTCACATAGGAAGACCCCCTTAAATATATTTATAAAATAATATAGTTAATATGTGTATGAGTAGTACGTATGTTTAGGTATCTCTTATATACAATATATTATATAATATAGTACAAACATTATTTTATTATTATGTCAATTAAATTAGCACTAATAAAAACAAAGAATAACATACCTATTTAAATATTCCTGGAAAGCTATACAGATAAATTTATTTGATAATTTAAGTATTTGATATCAAAAAATATTTTTACAATGACAATTACTGATAACATGTTCATTCGTTCAGCACGCGAATGTTAACAACAATGTACTGATTTAAATTAATACATAATTTAATTAACAACAAGAACTCTTTACTGCGCATTAGTTTAAAATGTTAGAAAATGCATAAGTAATGAATTTCTTACATGCAACTTACTTTATTCGAGATTCAACATTCTGTAGAACTCAATTTTAAAAATCATCAGCACAGAAATGAGTGAAATTACCTTTGTACTGTGTGTCACATTGAGTTACCATTATACACAGATGCTTATATTCATATTTACATACAATAGTAGATATTATAAGGGTTCATGACTTCTATATCAACTTTTTTTTTCTTTTATGTAATTGGAATAATTATATATTATTTCCCTTCTATCTCATCCTTCAAGGCAAAGTCACCTGGTTACTGAAATAAGTGAGACAAGTCCAAATAATAAATCTAATATCAACTATTGAACTATTCTGTCTTTCTTCATTTCATATAGACAGGGACGAAACGATTTCTTTAATAAGAGTGAGACATGTAAGTCGCCTGCGTGCAGTTTCCACTGAACTACCCCCAGTCTCAACTATTTTAGCCGCCAACGAGTTTGCTTTGAAAGCTGTAGCTTCAGATTCGGTAAAAGCTATAGCTTCAATTTCAGATTAGGTGAAATTAGGAAGAGAGGCATGACATCTTAGTACTCTGGAAAGGCAACGCCTTTCATTTAAATATTCCAAACGATTGTTGTAAAAAAGAGATTGTTAGTAATGTGGACTCATGACTCCATTACTAGTAATGTACCATGTCTGGTTGACCTCCACGCGGTTCCCCCTGGAAACCATCGTGATAAAATTCCTGGTGAATTTATCACAATGTGCTAACTGACCTGCCCTCATGTTCATCTTATCATCCTCCACTGGTGCCCCGCCAGCGTAAACCGTTAGCGCAAGCAGGTGCAATATTCTATATTCATGCCTTAAAAAGATGAATGTTGGACTCTGTTATCCGTATTCAGCCTTTAATTTGGGCCATTATCGTATAGAGTCGAGACCACTAAAGCCAGCCAGGGTCCTCCCAAAAGCGCAGACGAAGCCTCCTGGTGTCTTTACAGGTTTCACGGAGCAACCTTGCCGTTCCAAAGAAAATATATGTTTCTTGGGTGTTTTATTCTATCTGTCACACTTAAAGTGAGTGACTTGTAGCAGTCATGACATAACTATTTTGTTTCCAGTTTGACAAGATTGCCTGGTCATGGATGGAACCAATTCTACTAGCGGTGAATGTTGGTACCCATGGCTTTTACCCGTTCCCGCTGCCATTGCGGAACAATCAAAACTTGTTAGAGGGTTATTTTCCGGTTGTGGATGAACCTAAATGTTTCCCCACTATGATGCATATATATATTATGGATTTACTTAACTTTATTATTAATATAATATGGTTGAAGTTCGTTAAATCCTTCATCGTCGCTTTACATAAGGTATGTATTATAAACATTTTTATAGTATGATTTTTTTCTTTGGGAATATGGAATTCAATTATATCTCGAAAGTACAGCAAAAAGTTTCACCGTCCTCGTGGTGTAGGTAACCGTACACCACACTGGACCTATATTTGAAAAGTGTTTTTCTATTATATTATTTTGATTAATTAACAAAAACAATGAATTGGCTAAAATTGTTTTATTTTCATCTTTCATCATCAAATTATCGTATTTGTGGCGAGGAGTTTCGTACGGTTGGCACCCTACAGTAAAGACCAGCCAGCAGCCCTACTTCTGGAAGTGGAACAGTGCTGCGACCTTGATTATTTTTTTAACCCACATACTCTTTAACGGTTTTTGTTTCATTTCTATATATAGAATAGGTTCACCTACAATTTGAGCTACATATATACTATTACTGTGTGTATCTAAACGAGGTTTGTGGGTGTGATCTGCGATATACTGTTGAAACTCCAAGTCGTTGGAATTAACTCGTAATTGAATAATATATCGAATATTGTTAGTGGTGTGGAGAAAACAAAACAGTAAAACAAATGCTGGTTGCTCGAGAATGCACATAATTTAGAACTTAGATGTATTTCTTATAATAATCACCCATTGCTAGTAATGTGGTATGCAAACGGTACACTATGGAAATTACCGTTGTAAAAGCCTGGTGATTTTGTTACTATGGGCTACCTGATCTGACTTCGTCCTTTTATCATCCTTCACTGGTGCCTCGTCAATGCATACCCACAATTCGAATCCATAAAAAAACTAAAGTTACTACTTTGTAGTAATTTTTGTAATCTTTTTTCAACAGAAAAAACAAGAACCTATACGGCTGTTCTTTATAATCTATGTCCTTAAGATGGTATTTCAAATAATATATATCAAGTCCCAACCTGAGTACCTAATTATTGAAAATCTAGAATTATCATGGCTAATCAAGGCTATGGATATTGGTAAGTGTAATTATTAATGTAATTATGATATAAAAGTACAAATTAAACCTATTCACAAGTCTAACGGAGTTATAGGAGATCCATTTGGCATAGTCTTTTCTATTGCAAGTATAAGTGTATCTATCTACTCGTAAAAAGATTAATCAAATGGCAAACAAGAACCTTCTACCACAGGAATAACAAACAATCTAACATTAGCCTGTTTATATTATCTAGTAACGATCAAACAAACTGCTTAGGACTATCATGCAACTTATCAGATACTGTGTGACAGTTCTTTATAACCTGATGAAGAGTGATAGATGTGTAGGAGATGGTGATGTTATAAATTCACTAAACCTCTATTCTTTGAATAGAATAGAATACAATTTATTGTTTGAAGCTAAGGTAGCTTTACGATCACCGATGTAAGTCATGTACACCGACCACAATTAACAATACTTCTTACTACTCCAATTTGGGCAACGATCATAAAGGGTTACTAAAAAAATCTCGCAATTTTTACATTTTCAAACATTGTGTTCTTTTATAGGTATCTCAATTATATGCGCTATTATAATTGGTACATATATACGGCAATTAAGAGAAGAGTATATAAAAGAATTGCCCATCACGTGCGACGATGAACGCTTGATGTTGAAGAAACAAGACGCTACAGAATACAGTGAAAAGAACTTGGCGGGTATTGTCGTTAGTAAAGTTAATAAATCAGGTCTAAGTACAGTATTAAAAATTTCGTAGTTAGTTGTACAGTAACGGTAATGATTACTAGTAACAAAAAGACCACGTCTGAATTCAGTCCGATATGTTGGTTATCGGACTTATTACAAAACTCGGACGAAACATGATCTAAAAGTAAAAATAATTATATGTATAAGAATCCGTTTTAAATAATAAGTACACGGAAAAAAGGAACCACGAGATATTGTTATTGTATCATTTCGATTCGAATCGTCTATTAGCAATTTTTTTAGTATTTATGAAGTAAACAAATATTCATATATTTACTAATATGAGCTTACAAAAAAAAAACGGTTGGAAATTGGACACTAGAAGAAGTTAGTGCTATTAAACTATAAAATTCATACGGTTGCGTTTTAATACGTGAAAGGTAAAGTAATGGTGACTATTTCAATGGAAATGTTTTAGGCAATCAATCAATCGAAATCATTTCTACATCACAAGTCAACAAAATTGACGACAAATATTTTAAAGTCAAAAGAGTGAAAAAATTACAAGTAACGTGTTTTATATAATTTTATTCTTGTATGTATGATTTAAAGTTCATATATTTTTGATTTTGTTAAGATATTTTTCACAAAACAACCACCAACAATACAATTTTTAAAAATAGAAATTGACGTTTTGCATTCAGACCACTGTTAAACTAGGGGTATAGCATCACGATTAAGAGATAAAATTCATTTTGTAATAAGGAATACTTTGGTCAATTAGTTATTACTAATGCTAAACCAGGTTTATCTTTTTGCAATAAGACAGTTTGGGTTAGACGATAGCCGTTATACACCAACAGCGTACAAATTATCCTACAGTTTTCTAATAATTTACAGTAATAGTTTTTCCTTTCATCATTCATTCATAATGCTCTTGCCACTTTCTACGATCTTCCACCATACACTTTAAGCCTTGATACGATACGACTCCAATTCTGTTTTTAATTTCTTTGATGTAACTGTGCCTTGGTCTTCCTCTTCCCCTCCTTCCTTCTATATTTCCCTCAATAATTACTTTCAAAAATTCATGCCTCATTTTTTCCTTTATAAATAGTTTATGATACAGAAAAGTATCTTTTTAAAGTTGATTTCAGTGGGATATATGGACGTGAGCGGAAGTGTCCTCTGGAATGACAAAACACAGAGTGACGCCACATCCTGACGTAAAGTCTGTGACGCTTTTCGTGTGTCTAGACAACTTAACTTATTGGGGGGAAGGAAATTGTTAGTAATGGAGTCTCCATTACTTTATTACTAACCCCATTGCTAGCAATACATTGTCAGGTCAACCTCCACGCGGTTCCCCCTGGAAACCATCGTTGACAATTCCAGCCTATTGAATTACAATGGGCGAACTGACCTGATGGAGTGAGCCCAATCTTATCCTTAATTGGTGTCAAGCCGCACTATCGCGGAATCATCAGACAGAAGTGTTGGCCTTCTGCGTCCCATGGGAAAAAAATATGAAAAGGTCCTACACAGGTTTGATGTGCTCTCTGCACTCGCCCATGTTTTCTTTTTCTTTGCGGATTCCAATTTCATCGAGGTCCAGGGATGGTCATATCATATCGATGTCACGTCCCGGATTTCACGGAAAACCGGGGACTTGTAAGCCATATGTAGGGTTTTTAGTAATATTTAGATAGTAGTCAATACTAGATAGATAGATAGAGATAGATATATAGATATAAACATTGTTGTACTACATTTAATTATGCTTTTCAAATCGCAGCCGACTGTCAAAAATAATCCCCAAGTTTCGCGCTTCTTCAACTCGTTCTATACTCTAATCCAGGATATTTACTGTAATATTTTTGTTTATTATATCAGTAATTTGTTGTATTGATTTAAGAATCATATATTTTGTTTTGTTGGGATTAATAACCAATGAATAACTATTATTAATAACTATTATTTTTGATTAATTCTGAAGTCTAAAATTTACCTAAGTTGTATAAGACTGATTTTATATATGGATAATATAGGCTTTCAGACTATGATAAATTAATTAAAATAATACTATTTTAGGGGTAGACGTGTGGTATATTCATACATAATTTGTGTAAATAAGTAGGTATGTGTATGTGTAGGTGTGTGTCTTTTTTTTAATTCAATTTGAAACTATTTTATATATCTTATTATATATTGTTTTACAGTAAAATATAACATTAGTCAGTAATAATATTTGCGACGCAATTTTTTGAGACTTTACAGTAATTTTAAGGAATAATGTGAAAAATATTAGCTTTATAAGAAAAATATTATTTTATAGCTGTACCATAGATAACATAATATTACATATGTACTCCTTCGTGTAAATTTTAACGGTGTATACTTCTTAGTCAATTTAATTTTTGTAAAATTTTTTAATATTATGAAGTATCGTAATCTGTATCGTAATCTATAGCGTAACTGTAATTATGGACATTGTCTACTTAAAACTTGTCTATTATTGATATGCATACAACTGTACAGTTATTTTTAAACTTTCATATTTAATATACCGACATGCTGAGCTGACTCCTGACCGGTCAGGAAACGTAGTGACCTTTATTTGCCATAAAATTATTCGTGTTAAGAACCGGTTAATAATTTAAACAATGTATACAACTGTAATAATACGCTGCAGGTACAGCTGAAGGTTAGCTTTGCAACTGACTTTAAATAAAACTTGATTCTTAAATTTGTTATGTGTTTATTACAGTCATATGTGTCATTACCTTCCTTTTTCCTACTGGTATATAATAATTTATTGCGATTGGGGTTTAAGGGGTGTGCGAGTACACGTCTCTTCAGGGTTGGGATATGACCTAAATTCGTCGAATTTTTTTTTATGAAATTATATAGTCGAGACACAAAATGGTAGTGATTTTTTTTTCACGCTATTTTAATGCTGTTGGCCTTTGAAGCTTTACTGAACGATATGAGGAGAATCGAATCTCGCTGTAGAACAATTCCTGATATGACTTAGGGCACCGTTTAGACATTAGAACCACGGCACAGACCATCGCAAACTGCAATCCCCGTTTGAGTTAGAGGGGTGACCATGGGGCGCCGTTGTTGACCTCTAGAGCTTGCACATGCATCCGGTTGATTGCGCACAGTGACAGTCCATTCAACATAACACTACACACGCGGGAAATCCAGAAGCGGTGCGGTCATGTTCGGCTGCCAAGAGCATAGGCAGCCGCGATCGGTGAGGGACACGAGGGTCCCATGCTACGTTAGGTAAGCTGGTGGCACTTAAAGCTTAACGTAACTAACAATACAAGCGTGGTAAACGACTCGAGGGAGCTATGGACAAGACTGCGGCGGGACTAGCGAGTACATACGTGGTGGCGCTAGCGCGTCGGCCTGCGGAATGTGCATTGAAAGGTTCATTCTGGCCTTTTATATAAGTTTACACGTAACTCATAATTAATAAATAATTACTAACACGTAGCAGATAAGTAGACTTGAAGGTTGGCCACGTTGCTAGCATTGCTAGTTGCTTATATGAGGTATCTATAGATAAGATAAGACCTTTATCAACTCGTATCTTATCTAATCTTATCTAGAATATCTATAATAGATAAGATTATTACTTTGCATTACATTATTTGACTTTCACAGAGCTTAGATAAGCTCTGTGAAAGTCAGTTATCATGCAACACCCGTGCTTTGTCATCGCAGTGGTCTAAGATGTCGTGCCTTTTATCATGTAATTTTATTGGCTAAATGGCTCCCTATGACCGAAACGCAACTTAGAAAGCAAGCTGGCTTGACGGCTAAAATAGATGATTTTTACAGTCTACTCTTAATAAGGAATTTAGAATAATTTCTTATTTAATAAGATGAAGACTTCTGTTAAATTTAGTTTTTAGTTTAAGGGAGTTCTCCTGGCAACGAGCATGTTAATGACAATAACGTAAGTATTATACTTATGTTTGAAACTAACGAAAACTTGAATGTTTCTAAGTAAATAGTTTGAGGTTTTTGGTACAGTTGCAAACTTTCCGTACACTACACGAAAATATGAATATGGGAACATTTTAATATTGTGTTAGTAAATCCATACTAATATTATAAATTGCGAAAGGGTGTCTATCATCTGTATGTTTGATACATTTTATGACTGCTTAATGGAAATTAAAGAAATTTTACGAGAATATAGACTGGAATCACGACGAACATGAACAAGAATATATCTGTTTATTGAATACAACGATTATGTTCGTATGTTCTTACATGTGACATAGAGTGTGGTAATATTTTTATATAAATAACTACATATCTATAAAGATATTATCACACTCTTTGCCTACATACTGAATATATACTTTATTAAATATCAAAATAAACGTCTTTTAAACATTGCCAGTTAATCTATACGAGATCAACTGGCAATGTCGCCTTCACAGCAGGGATGTTAGGGAGCTCCGTAACCGTAACCGAAACTCCGATGTAATAAAATATTTGTAACCGAATCCGAAATAAGAGTTTCAGATAATATCGGATAGGGGCGGAGCCTAATTGAGACACGATATGTAACTATATTATTAGCTATGTGTATTTTCCTTTTGAAATTCCTTAAAAAATAATATCCGTAACCGAAATTATCCGAAACTAACGGATAATCCGAATTAATTTCATATCCGCATCCGTATCCGGTATAATAATAATTCCTATATTCGAAACTTATCCGTATCCGAAATTTCATATCCATAACATCCCTACTTCACAGCGGGGGAGCCGGCAGGCCGAACAAAACGTCACCTCAAATAAAATCACCTCACTCCGTCTGCACAAATGCCGGACAATGGGTTAGCAATGACGTGATCGCTCGCGACTTCAAGGTCCCAATGGTGGAAACTGAAAGTTTCAGTAAGTACTTGGTCTTAGCATTTTTTATTTGAAGATGACAAAAAGGTGTCTTTGCTTTAAGGCTTTCGAAATTATAATGATACAACATATCGTTATCATTAAAGACAATATAGATTATAATAAAATAGGTAAAAAATTTAAAAGATAGTTGATCTAGTTATGATATTATATACCATTAGTCATTTTGTTGTCAGAATAATATCTTTT